TTGTCATTGCGGTTCCCAGAGCAGAAGCCATACGCAGTAATCTGGAGAGAAGCTCGTGTTGAACAGTACAGTATTAGAATTAAGGAATATGTACAGCACTATATTGCCTCGGGGACATTTATATGTTCACTTTAACAGGGCGTAGAATTGAATAATTTTCCACAATGCAAAAGACTGAAATGCAATTCTCACTAAAACTAAAATTTATTCGCAATTCTTGAACTTCAGAAATTCTTGCAACGCGAGATCCACGTGAGAGACTGACTGACCTTTTATGTTTAATGCGGGGCCTGTTGGATTTGTTTTGGAAGCTGCTAGTCTGAATGCACTGCGCCTTTCATATGCTTTGCGGAAAGATGGGGGGCCATTTGTCCCAATGCTCAATATTCTGTGTGGACGGTCAATGTACTGTGAACAGTGGAGTATGTTATTATTGTATTATGACTTTGACGCAGTCTTGGTGTCAGAATCTCTCCCTCTAAGATTTTAGACACCGACCTTCCCGCAGCACACAATTCTCACTGATAAATCCGCCGTTTAAGGACCGTATTTGAGTACTGTGGGCAAAACTCTGGTTTTAAAAATCCCATGTCTACTCAACGTTTTTTAAAAAAATAAGCTTTGGTATCTCAAGGTGTTGTTTAGCGGTGAGGGGCTGCGGAGAGGTGGAGGGGTGGGTGGGGGGGGGGCATTGGAGAATGATAGACAAAGAGAAAGGCGGTGAGGTGGCAGAGGGAAAGTGGAAGCAAAGATGAAGTAAAACAGATATGAATGGAAGGAAAAGGGGGAATAATAAACGGAATTCAGCGCTTGTTGGAGAATTTAGCAATTTGGTATTCTTTCTCCACAAGGAGTTAAGGGTATAATGAATCAATTGCTCGTATCTCTGAGCTCTTCTTTTCCGTGTACTGTAGTGGCACTTCAACGCGTGTATTGTTGATCATTTTATTTGCCACAGGTATTAACAATCATTTTCAACTCTTATTTCACAGAGAAGCTAGTTATAATTACAGGCATATTGGTTTAAAGAGGTAGCTGGGGGGCAAATAATCCCCTGCATACCATTTCATGGTTTAATTCTCAAAAAAGAAATTTGCCAGCCGCAAATGTGCAATACCTTTCATATAGGACATGCTTTTCACAGTCAATGTACCCATTTTGTGGATAATGCTTGGAAAGCAATATGAAATCAATGCGCCGCCCCCACCCCAACGATTTGCTAAGTGGAGACTTTGGCCATGAGTGGGTTAATGTTGCCCAGTCTTTTATCGCTACTCTTTGCTTATTCTGCCCCACTGCTTCCGTACATTTGTTGTCAGTGTTTAATGAAATATGACCAAAGTTATTAGATGGATCTGCGCGCCCCAGAATGTGCAAAAACGCTGTAATTCTTAAGTACTTAAGCCTTGCAATTCATACAGATCTCGGTTTAAGGGCTGTTGTCTATTGTATCAAGTTACAGGGAAACGGGGTTTCGATTTGACATGCAACTTGACAATTAAAAAGGGGGTTCTGGTATGACAGCTTTAATGCCTCAATTGCTGAACGGATTGAATAACGTCAACAAGTAGAATATTACCCGTGGCTTTTTTTTTAAAGCAACTGCATAGTAGTAAACGATGAGCCAAATTATTTCCAATTTCACTGGTTTGGGAACCAGTAAATAGTCTATAACCTAATACACGGCAGTGTTGTTTCGGTGTCACTTGATTGCGTTACGTGTGCCTGATTTCACAGCAGTTTTATTTGTGTATTTGGATCGGATTTTAAAGACGACGAAAGTATTGTTACATAGAAAAATATGTTTTCTGAAAAGAAAAGGTTCTGTGGCACTTTGCCCCTGTGTTTTCCAGTGTAACTAAAAACAGTCTTAATCCCAAATCGGATTTGTCTCCTCAGAAAATGCATATTTTCAATTGTTGAATTTACCTAAAACAATGTTAACAGTTAAACTGAATTCGAAACGCGAGTAAGTAAGAAATATTTTGACGTGCGCGCATAACAGAGCCTTACGTAATTTTGGCACACTTTTGTGATACGTATTTACAGCCACTTTTTTTAAAAAAAAGAAAGTAGGAGCGTTCATGTGGACGTCCTCCCGACGTGAAAGGCGCTATACAAATCGTGCATGTTGTTGTGGTGGTGGTGGTGGTTCTGTGTGTGTATGTGTGCGTGTGTGTCATATGTGTTTTGTGTATGTGTGGCATATGCACAGTTTCAGACCTTGGAGTTGCAGTATATGTTTGCGTGAGGAGTGGTTGCGTTCTTTATGTGTGTGTGTGGATTGTATTTGCATTGATGTCGTGGGGTGTACTTGTGCCTCTCTCCCTCCCTCCCGCCTCCCTGCCATCTCTGCTCTGCCTGTCTGCACGATTGGCGGACGGAGCTCAACGTGTTATTTTTAGATTTTTTTTTCTCTGCTGCAGCAGAATGCATCTGTGTGTATGTTGAGGTGGGCTCTGGCCGGGAATGGTCCGGCTCTGGAGCCGGGCTGCCCCTCCCCCCCCCCACCCCACCCCCACACCCCCCACAGGAATGCGGCTCTCTGTGATCTCGGCGGCCGCCCCCTTGGATCCTTTCTGCCACTCAAAGCTGCTAATTGTGGGCAACACAAAGAGCGAGAGAGTCTGCGGTGAGGCTGCCAGCCAGACACCGGGAGAGCCAGCTACCAGAAACCCCAACACAGCCAAGCCCAGCCCCGTCCCACCGAGAAGACTCAAATGCACCCCCTCCCCCCCCCCACCCCGGACTGGGTGAAGCCCTTTTGCAAGCTTTTTCCTGTAGAGTCAGACGGGAAAGCGTTTGAGATAGGTACGCGATTGCTCACGTTTAAGCCTCCAATTCACACCCCCTCTGCTTTACAACGCTGCCCCGCGGTTACCAATCCTGGAGCGATGTTCACCAATTTTATTGTGCAATCATTTAACTTCAGTTGGCCCGCAGCTGGATCTCGCCATATGTATTGTGGCACTTTACCGGATCCGATCTTTTGCTTGTTACCGTAAATCAAATGTCATCCTCGACAAACAGGAACCTACCCAGATATCAGGTATCATTTCCCATGTGCGCTGACATGGCAACGTATTAGGTAATTCACATAGATACAGTCAGTCACAATATTCAGTACACACGATTAATATAGTTTCGCTGTAAGTTTGGTTAACGTTAATCAGAATAAGCACTGCACTAATAACTGCTTGTAATGAGACTACACTGCAATACATTTATACAAGTCTCATTGGTAGTAAAATGTCTGCAACATCCGCTTTACAATTTACGAAGCAAACTTGAGCAATTGCACATAGACTCGGTTGCTTATTTGCCTGGATTCTGACCCACGGTAATTGCAACGTGCATCTGGTTCACGGAGAAAGTCAGCAGAGACCAATATTGCGAAGGCGAACTCCCAGTCTGTACATTTCCCCCAGTAATCACCCCACTACATGCACGCTGCTTGTTATTTTACTGTTTTACACTTGTTTAAATAGCTTGTCGTTCGGTGCGTTCAGGGGTGCTGGGATAACATTGAACATTCTTCCAGACATGTCTCTGCATTTGTACAACTTCAGCGAAGCGTATGTAATAAACATGAAGGATGTGGACGATTATACGGAACAAAGAGTCAATTGCATCAAATCCGCCCGGATCAGTGCCAAATAAAATAGCAATCTTCAATTTTAATAAAACATTCCAGTTATTAAAAAAAATCGGTTGTGCTTACAATAAATAGTTTGTATTACTTTTTTTTGTTTTACTGACTGAAACGTGAATAGATTAGCGACACAAAGGTTGCCATTCAATTGTACGTTATACAAATCGTGACCAATAAGCTATCAAAGGTAAGCCCTCAACCACCACCGCAGTTCCAGGTCAGGTTTTCCCCCAAAAGGATGCAGCAAAACAAAGCGTTATTAATTTTCCGACAAATATATATATCTCATCTTCGGAATCATCAGACCAAGGCGCATTGACCTCCCATATCTGGTCAATTAACTGCTTTCCCTTCAATGCGTTATCTCTGATAGACGTGGAGCCTGTTCAGAGACAGAGAGAAAAAATACCTTCCGCGAAATGGATGTAATATCTACTTACATATCACCACTACTTTACTCATCATGCAGCACGCATTGCAAATCCTCACAAGTGATTCTATCTCGTGTTACTTCTTGACAATACCAATGGAAATCGGCTTTTGTGTGTAACATTCATTCGGTTTCTATCAGATCGCCCTCCAACTTCCAGCATACTTCAGAAAACGCCGGTTTAAGTAAGGCGAACCAGACGTTGTATTACTGTTTGAAAAAAATAGAAATGTATTTTCACGTTTAAAATAAAAGCACATAAATGAACAACCTTAATAACAAAAGGCTCTGAGAAAAGAGACGCACTATGCACTTTTGCCCTTGTAATTCTTGCAGTGGAGTGGATCGCTGGATGTTCTTGTTCGGGAACTTTCATTTTATTTTGCCCTAAGGCATATTTGTCTTCCATGTTCATGCAAATATCACTAAAACTAGTAATTGTTCGGTCAAACACGGCAATAAATCCAGCCTCAGTTGAATTCATTCACAGCTTTTTTGCTTTTTTTAAAATCTAGGAAAACAAATGAAAAACTTCTGTCCCTAAATACAGTGTTGGCTAAAATTGTTTATGAAGAAGTTAACTTGATCACGTAAATTGTCATCTGCAACAATATCCAGTTACCAAGAGTTCCAGTTAGTCCGATTTATTGTATCAACTTTTTTTAAAAAAAACAGTCTTTTTGGCTTGGATTTTAATAAATACTGCGATTTCTTTGTTGCAAATACAAAACATATAAAACAATACTCTATGACGTCCATTTGTTTGTATCAAATTCGTCCACACATCGCTGATGTGTCATAGCAAACTATAAAATATTACGCAAACCCTATATTAAATTTAAGAGCACGGAGATGGCATACGTTCAGTTAAATGGTAACACAATGTTATCAAATAAAATATCGACAACTGTTTTGTCCGAAGTGTCAATAATTTTATTTAAACAGAATATACAGTTTAATCCCACTATCTACACGTATGTACAGTGATACATGTTACTGAAAAGTCCTGCAAAGTTGGAGGTGGTAGCTTATAAGTGAAAGGCACCTTTTTACAAGTGTCCAAGTTTGCCCTGACGTCCATTGGGGGGGGAAAAAAAGATCCTTTTCTCTCTTTGAAATGTATTGAGCTGCACGCACAGTGTATGCAAGATCAGACTCTCTGCCTTCTCATTCCCCCACTGAACAAGATGTGCATTTGTTGCATATTTCCACTGCTTGCTGGTGCAATTCAGCCCATTTAGGAACATTTTTTTTAAAAAAAGTTAATAAATAGTCCCGGATCCCAGAGCGAGTGGATGGTGTAGTGAGCTTGTAGATTGCAGATGGGAATTGATGGAACTGGGATTGGAATACCAGGAGCTGGCGTTTTCTAGGTAGGCTGCGGTAGATGGAGTGTGGTTGGGGGTCTGATGAACGTGAATACCTCTGGAAACGTTGTGAGATTCCCAAACAGCAGGGGATTGGGGAGAGTTGCAGGCCATGGGGTCACTGGAGCTCGGGCTGTGCTCTGGAGGAATCTCTCCGCTCTTTATGATCTTCTTAATCTTCGATCTTCGGTTCTGGAACCAGATTTTAACCTGAGATACAGCGAGAGAGAAAGAGAGAAGGAGAGAGAGGGAGAGAGAGAGAGAGAGAGAGAGAAACAATCGGTCAACTTTAATAAGTAATATAAAACAGCTGCAACTCGGGGTCATGGCATCGACATAGATTTTTGTAGTATTGTATTTTTTTAAATAGCTAATATTAAAACCACTCTAAAAATCACAGCACAGCGAAATGGCAAAGGAGATGGTCGCTTAAGAATTGCAGAGCGAGCCCATAAATCAATCTGCAGGGTTTTGTCGACTTGCTTTGATAAATGGATCTGTTTATCCCATTCCCGATGTGCTTTTTACTTCGGCCGTTTTGTTTGGAAATAAACTGGACCGCGATGAGTGACTTTTATTCAGATATTCAATTAAATAGTAGTTTGAAATAAACAAGCAACCTGGAATAATTAACAGCAAGTATTTCTAAAAGCCAAAAAAGCCCCCAAATTAAATGCATTGCAATGTATTTTTTAATGCAATATAAATAGTAGCGTGACAAAACGTCGATGCTGTCCCGGGCGATTTTCTTTTGAGAGGAAAAATATCTCGTTACAGAAGCTTGATTTTAATATTTGGGGGAATGATTAAATAGTTAATATTGACTTTATTGTAATATGGTGCAGTCCCCACCCCCTCGTAAATTGCCTTGAGATCCTCTAAACAGATTTTTTAAAAACTAATCGTAAAATTAAAAAAAAACACAATCGACATTCAAGGACGTTGGAAAAGAGGCAGAGAAGAGGTTTGCTCTGGTCACTCAGATGGAAGTGAAGACCGATCATATCAAAATCAGATGAACAAATTAATAGCCACGGGAATGGCGATGTTTGCAATAGACGGTTACACCGCACACACAGCAAACCGAAGAGAAACGGGGAAAACAGACAGCCTGCTGTTCGGGGCATTATTATTCACTTTTTTTTTGGAAAAAGTTCCTTATTTAGTCGTGGGTAAATATGTGGCTGCAGGATTAAATGAGGTTACAGCCTCCAAATCCAGTGTGAGTGAGATCTGTGCTGGCCGTCTGTTTGTATGTTTAGAGCCGCGCTCAGTGCTGTTGCGGAGACCCCTTCACTTTGGTGCGGTTTGCGATGGGATTTCGTGCTCTCTCTGCAGAAAGCTCTACTGATCCGGTCAGACTGTGCGATTGGTAATGCCCCCACCCCACGCTATTGCTGCTAGTACTGGACGCATCCCATCGTTAATAATAATGATAATAATAATAATAAACCTTGCATGTGATATAGCGCATTATCACGTCGTTGAGGCGTCTCAAAGCGCTTCACAGAATATACTATAAAGTGAATTGACTGTATATTTTGCGGGCGAAACGCGGAAGCCAATTACACACTGCAGTGTCCCACAGACAGTGGCGGATTGAGTGACATTATCATCATTATTATCATTATTATTATTATTACTAAAACAAATAAGCATGACAGAGACTCTGCAGCGGGCGGATCCACCGGTGTGTGTGTGTGGTGGAGTGTGTGTGTTTGGTGTACAGTTGTACTTTGCCAACTTTCTCTCTGTGTGTGTGTGTGTTTGGTGTATAGTTGTACTTTGCCAGCTTTCTCTCTCTTTCTCTGTGTGTGTGTGTGTGTGTGTTTGGTGTACAGTTGTACTTTGTGTTTGGTGTACAAAGTATGGTGTTTTTTTTTATATAGTTGTACTTTGCCAGCTGTGTGTGTGTGTGTGTGTGTGTGGTGTGTGTGGTTACCTGTGTCTGGGTGAGTCCCAGGGAGGCTGCGAGCTCGGCTCTCTCTGGCAACGCCAGGTACTGTGTCTTCTGGAAGCGCCTCTGCAGCGCTGCGAGCTGGAAACTCGAGTAGATGGTCCGCGGTTTGCGAACCTTTTTGGGTTTGCCGTTTACTATCCTCACCTCGGGCTCGGCTATTTCTTTTTCTGCAACAACAACAAAAAAAAAACCCGCCCCCGAACAAAACGAAAAAAAATAAATAAATGCACGCGTTGGTTTTTGAAGCCCGACCCTGGCCGTCACATTTAAACGCCCTCTTTTGTGGCGGTTTATCAGAAGGAAAAAAAATGCAATCGGGCGGAACGGGGAAATAGCCAGAAAAATAGACGGGATTTGCAATGGAAAAAAAAACAACAACCCTGATCTTGTAAGGTTTTCTGCGTAAAATCCGCAGCGATTTTAACCAGAAACACGGGTTGCTGTCAGTTTACGCTCATGCGATGTCTTTCTGCTCGTAAACAAACTCTTCCCTTCCGTTCAATAAAACGCCCGCGATCGCAAATGTTCCCCTCTATCCAGGTTTTAATTTGTTTTTTTTCTTATTTAAAAGAGCGAACCCGTCGCTCTCCTCCAGCACTCTCACACGGCGTGGGGTGGGGGTGGGGGTGTGGGGTGGGGGGGTGGGGGGGAAGCGCAAGATGCAGAGTTTTGATGCTTTTAATTGTAATACTTTGGAGGGGGAAATGAAACGCTTTCGGGCTTTTGAACCCAACAATTCAAAAAAAAAATACGGCAAAACTCGCGATCGCGGCCGCGCTATAGTTTGGGGGTCAAACGACTCTTTAAACGTGTTCCCCTCCAAGTTGTAGCCGTCGATCGGTGTCTCTGGTATATTGGGTTTCCAGCAGAATTTTGTCCCAAATGCCCCCACACGGCATTGATGTGGATCACACAAAGCAAAATGGCCAAAACAGCGCAGTGTCAGAGGGGTGGGAGGTCCGGATGGGATTCGCTTCTCTCGCTACACGGGAGGGGGAAGGAAAGGGAAAATAGGGGTTTGGGAAGAGATGGCCCGTGACCACGTAATACGAAAGATGGCTTCACAACATAAAGTGTCCGTGTGCACGGCGGTGGGGGTGGGGGTGGGGATGGGGGGGAGGCGCCTTACCTGGCTGGCTGCAGGGCGGCTGAGCCCTGTTGTAAGCGCCGTACTGGTGGTAATGGCTAGGGTAGCTGTATTCAGGGTAAGCCTTGGCAGAGTAATTGGCCGCAGATCCGTTCACTCCGTGGTACTGGTACTGATAGGGGTTCAGAGCTTTGCCGTAAGTCGAAGGCGAGCAGTAGCCGTGGTGGGAAGCAGCCGAGCTGTAGTATCCCGTGTCCGTGGCTGTGGACTCGGGGAGAGTGGGAGACTCCTGGGACGGGTGGTGCATACTGTGCTGAAAAGCGCCCTGGATGTCTGTCCGGATGCTGGGGACCTTGCGATCGAATACTCCTGTCATCGTCAGTCTCGGAGCTGGAGGGTATGTCGGTCGGTCGGCAGACAGACAGGCAGGAAGGCAGGAAGGCGGGCAGGCAGGCAGGCAGGGTGTGTGCGTGCTGGGAGAGTCTAGTCTATGCAGACATGACTGTGTGCTGAGGAGGCGCTGGCAGACTGTGGCTGTGGGTGCAGCGAAGGTTTGGTTAAGTCCCTAATTGCGCTGTTACGCACTGGGTGGATCTGTTCCATTGGACGGAACGCGCAGCCATCAGCAACACCCTAACCCGTTCAACCCGTTTAACACAACACCTCACACAAGCCCTTAAAAAAAACACAAAACCAACGACTGACTCAAATGAAATCTTAAAGTGTTGAATGTTTGTAAACAATTTCACTGCCATTTCAAATAACAACACTTACTGATGTTTTTTTTATTTTACCAGTGGTCCGGATTCGTAAATACGCGATTGTAATGTAATTACTCCTATGGTTACCATATCTCAAGCTCAGGGTTGGTGTCAGCACTCTCACGGATTAATTATGCACAAATTAACTATGGTGGAATATTGACGCTATGTTACTGCCATCAAATTTGGGTCGAAACAGAGCAAACAAATCCTATATACCAGAGTGTATTTTTGTTCACGGGGCGAGGGACGCAATCTCGAACAAATACACGTGTGTGTTTTTTTTTTCTGTTTTCAGCAATCCCGAGAGTGTCTGTGCACAGATATTAAATTGTGACTAACTTGTTTGCTTCTCACACAATGCAGCCCGATTGGCGGCAATTTAAATGTTAATTTAATTAATTTAATTTCATTTCATTTCAAACTGGCCATTGCTAATTCCAACAGCGCGCTGCTACTGCTGTAAAAATTAGCCTCATATGACATACCCCGCAAATACTCCCGCAAACTCCAGATAGACTTCTCGGTGTTATAATGCTCCTGCTCTGCAGTTAGCCACCAACCAATGCTAATTTATATCTTGCATATCTTGAAAGACGTCAGTGATGATCATTTTCTTTTCTTGTGTTTCACAGATTCACTGGGAATGTCTTTCCAGAACTAGAATGGCTAAGGCCTGGGATTATGCATTTATAATTCATAAACAGTAAAATAACGCACTCGCTGTGAACTCAAATATAAATGTGGAAAATATTTACACGTTGCAGTTTTGAGGTACATTGAGAGCCGAGAGGCCGGCGAGGAACCAATCTAACCTTGAGGTTTTTATTTTATTTTATTTTATTTTATTGAACCCGAATCGTGAGAGCATTTTAGAAAAATACTAAATATAATGCAGATCAGTGGGGTGTCTACCTGATCAACCAAACAAGACAAGAGACATAATACAGCGCATATACTCTATGTATGTGCCTGTCCTCGCTAAAGTCTATATGACTGATGTTGGCGTAATATCTGCCCATTTACCAAATTCCAATAAAAATAAACTGACACACAAACACACATAAACACGCACAAAACACGATTTCTCGCTTTCCAACAATGCACAGGAAATATCGAACTGGACACTTTGCTTATTTAAAAGCTGTTGGAACAGCTTTACAAAAATAAAATAAACGCTTCCTTATATTTGGATATAGTGTGATTCCGGACCAGGATTGTGCAGGTTTTCAGGTTATACCCGACTATATGGAGCATAGCGCCACCCAACGCTCGTGTTTATCACAAATAATTTCGTTGATTGTAAACCATTTTAAAATCGGGTATTCTCACAACAAAAACATTCTTCCCATGTAAACACAGAAATGCTTATTTTTGCCCCACAAAATAGCAAAAAAATGTTCACAGGCTCTTCAATTTGTGCATTGATCTTTAAAATGCCCCGCAAAATAGTTTCGAATAATTGTGTGAATTTGGTGCTCCACTTAAATGTAATGTGCCTCGAGTGTTAAACAGCATCATTTCAGACTGATTATTACCCCCACCCATCAACTATCGGCCTGACACATCCGAGCGGCAGTTTAACTTGTGAATATTAATATTAATATGCCCAAAAAAATCAAAGCAGGATTCATACACTTTGCAAAGGTAAGTTACTCGCAGTTTTTTTTTCACGAGTGAAAGGTTTTTCAAGTTTTTAAACGCATCCACGGATTCTCCCGCAATAGATTTTTAATTTAAACATTCAAAGAAAAACGCAGAGAAGGCACTTCATATTGCATTTCGCGCCCAGGTAAGAGTGGGCTGGAATGTGAACATTTAACAGGACAGAAATCTGGTCAAGTTAATCAGGCATCAGGAAGCAGTCTGGCGTTTGTGTGTTTCAAAGATCATTTTATTTGGCCTTTTGCATCTGAAACATCAGCCTCCATCGGCCAATCTCTTTAGTTTTGTGCAAATTTTAACTTACGGACACGGGATGCGAACTGAAGGAGATCATAAAACCCTCTGGAGTGGCTGTTCAAATGTTCTCACTCCTACATAAAGGCATCCCCTCGGGCACCAGGTTGTAGATTGCTTTAATTGCATAATTCGACGTTTTCTGTCCTTTTCATGAGTGAAAGGTTTTACAAATTGTGGCGGGTTAGGGGATGACTGAAAGGTCTGGAGTCGCTGCATCTGTATAACATTCTCCCCGAAAGGAGTAGCTTGGAAGTGAGAAATGCCCACGTATTAACATTTAAAATTATATTTGGAGTGGAGCACCAAATTCACCCAATTCTTTCAACTATTTTGTGGATCATTTTAAAGATCAAGGCATATATTTTTTAAAACCAGTGTTGTTTTCTTTGTGTGTTTGCGTGTGTGTGTGTGTGCGTGTGTGTGTGTGTATCTCTTTCACAGACATGTGCATCACGTTTCGCTGGTGCAGTCCTGAACCATGTTTTAAATGCTGTCAACTATTTCGACTTGCTGGGAATGGGAATGATCGTGTTGCCAGTGAAGTGCAGTGTTGGAAGTTGGTGAAAGGAACACACGGTGTAGTCAAAGTCAAGTGAAAAGTGACAAGTGACCACCACTTGTGGACAGGTCTTATTTGCACAGCAGCTTGTTAACGTTACAGACACAGCGGGTTTATCCCCAACATATGGCTCTTGACCTTTAATCTATTGAATTGATTTTTGACTTGTATCCCTATCGCTCTCTGCTTCCAACACCGGGAATTATGTGATTCCCTCATTTTGTTGCAAGATGTTATCCACGTAAAGGCTGCAAAGAAAAATAACAGTGCAGTAATACTGGAGAGAGAAGGCGTTCTTTACAGTAGGAAAGCAAACGAGACAATGCAGAGAGAGCTTTAAGTTGTGACAGCTTTAGAGGAGGGCTGATAGGTTGATACCGTGTAATTGTAGGATTCATCTGAAAAAAAATGGAAGTTAATAAACGTGCAAATTTAGTTTTCTGAATATGAAATATATCCAAATATTTGAAGATTCCCAATAAAACTAGGCATTAACTAACGTGGTAACTGAATCCAAGCTAGATATCATACTATGCAGTCACAGCTTGTCACCAGTGGCATGTCATACAAGCTTTTTATAAACGATTGATGCTGCAGTAATTCTGCCAAGTTTGCATCAATCCTATACAACTTTTGTGTTGAACTGATGCAACCCCAAGTAATGGCATGGCCAACATTTCTCCAGAATAATTATTAATTCTATCGCTCTTTGTGAAGCCTTGCTGGTGCGTGTATGTGTGTGTGGGGGTCAAAAAGATACATTTTAAAGAAGGTTTTTGAAGGTTGTGAGAGAAGAAACAGGCTGCATTACTCTAGTTACGTAGCATGTCATGCCAGTTTTCTGTAAGTTGCTTTAAGAATTGAAAATCGACTTCAAAGTTAAAACTAAATTCAACAATTTGCCAAATCCTGGATAGTCTAAAATGCTACATAGAGCAAATCTGTACCCAGGTGGAAATTTCTCCCCATGGTACAACAGTACTGCCTGCTGCAAATCACCTTTGCCTAAAACTGCATGTGAATAATTATCCAGAAATATTTTAACTTATATTTTAAAAAAACTTAAAAACAATTCAGAATCTTTGAAGTAAAACCCTATTTACGTAACAACTGCCAACATTGATTTGATTCTGAATCACCTCTTGGAAGTGAGATTAGGAGTAAGGCTCAATGTGAATCACTGCCATTGTTAATATGAAAAACCTAACACTGATTCAATACAGAAAGGTGTACTGTAACAGTGGCATAACTACAATCTGTCTGACTCCTGCTGATGCAAAGTGAGTTTTTAAAGGTTATAAATCTTAAATTAAAAAAAAGGAAGGTCTCCCTTCCGCTTTTGTTTAACGTTATGAAAGAGTTAAAAGGGCTTTTTAATAACGTTGCCAACAAGATGCTCCAGGTGTCCGATAGAACTCTTACCTCTGAGTTTGAAGGTTGTGGGTTCAAAATCGGATTGGGACTTTGAGTTCACAGTCTAGATTCACATTCCAATGTAAACTGGGGGGGTTCTGCATTGTCAGAGGTACTAACTGTTGGGTATGACCCCAATCAAGGCCCTGTCTGCCTTCTCAGGTAGATGTTAAAGATCCCATGCACTATTTGAAAAATAGGAGAGTTTCTCCTGGTGTCCTGGCTGGCAATCCCTCAGCTAAATTCATCATTTACTTCACGGCTTTTTGAGGTAAAATTGGCTGCCCTGTTCGCCTACAAATACACACTCACTAAACTCTACAGTAAATCTTGTGAAACACTTTGAAATGTTTTGATGAAGTAAAAAGGTGCTATATCAAATGCAAAAATTTTTATTCAGAATTAAAGTTATTCCAGTTTTCATAGATGTTCCATAGATGTGCTTTCTATGAATGTGCAGATCTTCTACTTGTTTTGCATTATTCCAAGTGTGAGAGTGGCGAAAGCTGGTTGTAAAACTCCAGTTTATAGCGGAAACTCACATTGCTCTACTGCAGGCACTGAGTCAAACATTTGGTAAAATTGATTAAGAGGAATGTTGGAATGATGCATCCCCAAACCATGTGTTTAATCAAAGTATCCAATCTTGTGATGATGTCAAGTTGCCAACTGACTTGTATGTACATACTTACATACTGATTATTGAATTTCTCAGTCATCTGCTCCTATAAGTTAGTTTCTGATAACCAATAACATCAGTTATATTGTGGCAGAGTTCTGATAGACTGCTTCTGATAGTCACTATTGAGTTAGAAATACACCTAAAAT